TTCCTGCTCCTCTGATGCTGCTTGGCCTGCTGTGTTCATCCAACTCTACACCTTGTTATCTCAGATTCTTCAGCATCTGCAGTTCCTACTATCTCTGAAAAAATTCAGTCTTGATTGCTTTTATTTGTTTAAAATCTTACTGTTTACAAAATAAAACACCAAGATTTGTAATTAGAATTTTTTTTTTGAAAACACTGGAGTAACTGGTATTACAATAGGCTACAAAATTCTTCATCTCATTTTCTAAAGGTTCCTCCACAGTAACCTCACATCTTAGCTTGACAGTAGCACAAGGTGGATCTGAAAATAAACTTCAAATTTCAAGTCAAATATCCTTCCAAAGGAATTAACAAAAGACTATTTAACTATATCAAAAATATTTTGGGAACAAAGATAAAAATCAATAGTGAAATACAAAAAGTTTACATGGAAAAGGAGCAGTGCTGAATGGAATTTTGCAACAATCTAATTAGAGTCCTGTGCAGCTCACCTGGTTCGCAAACATGACAATGGTGCTCTTGTTTTAATATTTTGGAATGATACAAAGTCATTTGACCAGATTTTCAACATGACCAAGAACAATGCCAGCCAAAAAAAAAACTGATCTAATTCTGCACATGGATTAAAAGAACAAAATTAATCTTAATGCAAATAAAAATGTATAGCATTATACACTTGAGAATGGAGGGACATAGTTCATGAGTGCATAGTTCGAAAAGGAATGAAATGAAATCTCAGTAGAAATTTCTTTTGGGTGTAAAGCTTGAATTAGCAAAGTTAATCAGTACAATTCAGCTCAAAAGCATTTTAATATAAATTCAAATGCAGGTAGTTCTCCTATAATGCAATTGTTGCATTCTTGCATGACCTCGTGCTATAGAAAAACCCGCTATACCTATACAGCAGAAAGTTTGCGTTATACAAACAGCATCCACTATTCATCAATCATGTTACAGCCAATTCGACTTAACGAAACATATGTTATAGCGGAACTACCTGCAAATTATTGTACCTTGCATAATCAATAGTGAGGTCAGACTTGGAATAATGCAGGCAGCTTTGTACCATCCCCCTCCACTTAAGTCACTATTGGACAGGCTTCCAGGGCAGACTGAGAAACGGAAGCTGTGGAGAAGTGATTGACAGGAACCTGATCTAGGTTTTTAAACACACTGAGGGGCATGGAAAATATCAATGCAAACAGATTTTATTTGAAGTTAAAGTCACCATAGTCCTACGAAACCAAAAGGCAGATCTCTCATTAGACAGACATAACTGGTGGTGTAACCTGAGGTTCATCATGCCTCAGGCAAGGGGAGAGATTGAAAAAGGAGGGCCTTCATGGTAACCTGAGCCAGTATGGGAAATAAACCCACCCACACTGTTGACATCACTTTGCATTGCAAACCAGCCAACTGAGCTAACCAACCACCAAGGATTGTATTTATGCTCCAGGCTCAATAAAAAGAAAGAAAGGATGTATATACATCACAGTGAAATACAACATTTTTCTTTTCTATCTGGTGCTCCCAAATCTAACAGTGAAAAGCACAGACTCAAAGCACAATTCCTGAAGTTTTATAGAAGGGAGATGGATAGCGTGGCTGAAGGGATTTTGGTGGTGGGGAGGTGCAATGAGGATCCTATTAAAGAAAAACAAAGATCTTCAGTCTTGTTGTCAAGTACTTTTGACTTGGAAGCAGATTAAAATAAACTATGCAGAGAATGATGGGGAGATACAAGGTGTTTGGAAAAAAGGCTGACAGAGCACTCTTGTTCAGAAATGAAGTCAGGAGCACACAGACAATAACAGACCTATGAGTTTTCAACTCTACAAAAATCATACATCAGAAGCAAGCTTGAGGAGTATTTGTACAAAAATTCAGTACACAGCAGCCAAGGCTGGAGATGGAAAAACTCCTGGCTGACAAACGTCCCTGAATTGTTTAAGGAAACAAAAACCCAACTCAATTGCAGTAATCATACAATGTTGTCTACGTAGGTTATAAAAGAAAAAAGTTATTTGATGATGTTCCATAGTAGAGGCTATTATTTTAGATAATAGTCGTAGGAATGGAATACAAAAAAGGATGTGGACACCAAAGTTGACCTAAACATAGATAACAAGTACTGGTTAGAGTGGTAATATCAGTGCAGTGGTAGATCAAGTGCAGATAGAGGAGAATCTTTGGCACACATGAAGGACAGGATACATGGTTCATGAATTGTGCAGGAACAGTTCAATATGAAGTTGAAAAAACAGTGATGTTATTGTTGAATCAGGACTAAACATGACCAGCTGTAGTCCCAAAGCCAACACAATTAAAATATTAGAGCAAAAATCAGAGGAATTCATGACCAAAATTGCACAATGCTCCAAAAAGAATAACCTCAAGTACTGTGTTTAGTTCCGGTCAGTGAAATTAAAATGGAAGACATTTCAAGATTGAAAGCAGTACAAAGAACAGCAAGAAGGCGAATCCCCGGTATCATGAATCTGGGTAATAAGAAAAGTGAAATCTTAGTTTTTCAGTCTGTAAATGATACATCTGAGAGACGGCTGTAAAGTTTTATGTAGAAACTATAAAGAATATGACTTTAAAAAGGAGTAGAGCCAGAGAGGGTAGCATTTAAATTCATAAACGATAACTTCATGTGAATATCAGACGATTCTTCTTCATAAAGGGAGTGGAAAATATTCGAACGATGGAAGCAAGATTCTTCAGACAATTTAGCAAACAATTAAATGCAAGGGAGGCAGTGAGTATAGGGTTGCTCAAGAGACAAATTAAGTTTAATTATATGGTTTTCCTCTTCTGCTCGTTAACTTTCTTCCAGAATTAATGTGATTGGATAGATCCACTATGGCAAGTGTAGTCAAGTGGTTGAATGGTAGGAAATTAATGTTACATTCTACTAAAAATACTGATCACATCTAAGTCTTCTTTATCAATTACTACTTCTATGGTTAAAATAAAAATTGATGAAGAAAAGCAAAAATCAAAAAGGTGTCACAGCATGCATACCGGAAAGCACAGGAACAGTTGGTCTGTTTTGATAGCGACTTAGACTTGGGTTCTGTCTTGCATTGTATCCTACTCCACCTGAACTCTGAGACACAGTTGTTGGTGGATCCACATCATTAGCAGCAAAACCCTAGCAGAATGGAAAGATTTTCAATAAAATCAAATTTGTTTTTCAAAGATAAGAATTAAAAAATGAGCATGTTAGGTTCACATATCATCACACTAAATATGGAAATTTGCTTCCAGCACAATGGATTGCACATAAAAATGTAGAAAATGGGTACCAGCTAGCAGAATCAATTATACAAAGGTCGGTACAGTATAACAATCCAAACTACTCTCAAACAGTTTTACAAATTCTCACTTAAATATCAATTATTCACTAATCTATTGATTAACAAGCCAATGCACTTAAAACGTTCTGGTATCATACTCCCTTGTTGGCCAACGCCAAAGAAAATAGGAGAAATAGGCTATTCTGCCTATCAATTCCACTCCACCATAATTGATCTGATTGTAGCTTTGACTCCCCTTTCCTGTTGAACTCAGTTTGGAATATTTCCTATGACTCAGCCTCCACTGCTACCTGAAGAGGAGAATTCCAAACATGCAAATTACATTTGATTTTCAAATTTGATTTCTGTTAGCTTTGAACAACAGGTTGTGGTATTACAATTAGTCTCAGTGCCAGGAGTTGGGTGATCGGGGTGGGTGGTCATGGATGAAACATCAAACCTCACCAATATATTGCTACACAGTCACCTTTCTCAATTTACAGATGACAGCTTTGCATCAATTAATCCTTCACAGGAATCTTTTTATTCAATATAGAATTTAGCTTATCTGTGCTAAGTTCATATGCTAGATTTTTACTATATCACGAGATATTCTAATTTATGCAATTCTAAAACTAAATTTCCTGCAAGAGATTCGAGAAATAACTTCAAAATCCTCTGATGAAACTTCGATACTAGATTTCATGCTCAGAACTGCCTTGCTTCCAGGAAGACTAAACACCAATAGACAAGTTGGACCAATTAGTCCGTTTCCACATTTTAACTGCTAACTTGATGCAGGTTCTGTGTCTCAATTCCACACTAATTTATTAAATTCTGAGGAAAAAAAATCATGAGGCAGTCAATCATGTTGGCAAAAAAATAACAGACTCGTTCAAGACAACGACAACTGGAAATAAACTGTACAGCATTGTTCCAACACACAGAGAGTAAACTAAAGTCAACTGAACTGTGTTTAAGTAAACAAATTACACCATTTTGTCTTTACCTGTGTTGTGACAATAGGCTGTGTTGGTACCGAAGCAGGCATAGTTTGTGATCCTGGCTGATACACACCCATTGCGCTCGAATTTAATGGAGCAGTCTGATGGTTGATTGATTGGTTTGTGGATGACGCACCTACTGCAGAAACAAATTTTTTAAACCTTCAATATTATGGAGCATTTCTATGAACCCACAAAGATGAACACGTTACTACACATTTGACAAATATATTAGGACACCCACTTTTCTACATTAAATGGCACTGATGTTTTAGAGAAATAAAAAATAAATTTAAATACTGAGACAGTACTTGTAATAAGACATTAAAACAAAACAATCACTTCGGTATCTCTTACCACTGCTAAAGGAGACCATCATGCCTCTGCTAAGTCCATTCTGCATTCCTCCTTGCTGGGTCAAATTAAATGTAGTGCCTTCTGTTTTATTACCTTGTAAGCAAATAAAAGATGGAGATAATAAGCAATCTTCTAAGGAGAAATTTGAAGGATCTGGAAAAATTCAAAATATGACAAACTCTTATCCTTCAAATTTTTATTGTCACAACCCTCCTGATTTTCTCATGATCTGACAAATCAGGCAGATTTCAGAAAGTGGGAAAAACAAGGGTGGCTTTGAATGGCTTAGTCAACAATATTCAAATTAAGATATTTACCACTAACTCCCAGAAACCATACCATGAAAGTGCTTGTAGATAAAATGGAAGGATATACTTTTTGTAGAATGGCCTCTCATTTGAAAAATATGATTTGTTACACAACAGGTTTAGTTTATCTATTTTCTTAATTAAATGACCCATTGTGGAACAAATTTAGGAAGGAGAGGTCTCTCCAAAAGACCTGTAACAGAAATTTTGTGGACCAGTTAAACTTATTTCAGCATGTTTAATAAATATAGGAGAACTGCTCCACCTGGTAATCTCCTGCACAATTGAAACCTTACGGGAGTTGTTGCGGAACAACTGTAACAGCTTTAATGCATACTCTAGTTTTAGTCACTGAAAAACTGCAGCACTTTAGGAGGTTCCGAATTATCCTTTCTGTTGTTGATGGCTAAGACATCTATCACTAAGCAAATTCAAACTTCACAAATTACTGCGTGTACGACACAGAGTGGAAATAATGCTTCAATTCTGCCTTGTATTGTAGGCAAGTAAAAAGCTGTACCATGACTTCTTCATTTAATTAGACAATCCAAAACTAAAACCAACAATGGAAGCACCAATATAGGAAGGTTAAAATTCTCAATTTTGGACAGCTTTCATAGTGGGTAAATTTATTGTCACAATTAAGAATCAAATCGGGGGAAAAAAAAACTTAAACCTTCATGCCCAAGCAAAGACCAGACTTCAGGGTAAATTTTACTTCACTCTATTCTTAAACAAGGGAACATAGACAGATGATTATCTTAAAAGACCTCTCTCAAGACACAACAACTCCAATTGTCTACCTGGCCAGAAGTCAAGGCAAGAGACTGATCTTGTGATCCCCAACATGATCAAACAGACATTCATATTCATATCCAATCATATGAAGAGTCAGCCCTTTCTCTCCTCCACACTTCTCGGTGGTTGAAAACACTAAGTTTTTTGCCTAGGCACACAGGTTTGTTTAGGTCATGATCTGGAGGAATTGCTGCTGTAGCCTGGTTGCACTTTTGCTGACATACCAAAATGACCATCTTCTACTCATAGATTAGTGTTCTATTCAGTAAGCTAGCATGTCAACTGTGGGGAAAAGTAGTTGCAAAGATGCAGCTGTAATACTCTGCACTCGAGATGATTGCACAAACTTCAGGACTGTAACTTCTCAATGCATAAAAATCTGGAAAGGCTACCCAGGAAAGAAACCACTGGTTTTGCAGATTTAGTTGAAACTGATTTTATAATATTAAAGCAAAATCAAAAAATTGCTTCCTGTCAGCAAGACCACAATTTTAAAGTCCTTTTCAATATGCCTTACAACCTTTCGTATAAAGTGGATATCATTCACCTGAGCGTTGTAAAAAGGCTGAAATGGAAAACAAGCTTTTGCCACGATAAAACAATATGCCTCAAATATTAACTTCTTTTTAGGTTGCAACTCGAGCCTCTCGTAACTGGTTACATATCTATTAACTTTATTGAGTGCTAGTGTCATTTAAATTTGGAACTCAGTCAAATTCTTCAAAAAAAAAGGTTCCAAAATCTAAGTCAAGAATTTAAAGACAGAATCAACAAGTGCCTACAAGTGAATGGATGTATTATGATTTGACTACGTTTAAATTTCAATGGCTCACTGTGCTCAGCTATCAACTTGTAAATATTGCAACCACTCTTTGGGTATATTTAATAAGCTCAAGAAATTTAGAGATCATGACCAAATTTGGAGGACCTGTTTTATACAATGATGGTGACCATCAATGCAAATGGAACTTGGGTTTAGGTATGCTGACAGTATTTAATTGAACTCTGAATTTCTTTAATTACAAGGCAAGTATGAGGAACATAAAATTACAGCACACTAAACTGATCTTTACCTCTCACCTACACAACACACCTGCTGAGTATTTCCAGCACTCTGTTTTGATTACCAACCCTAGCAAGTTGTTTGAATTTTCAAAAATTGTCAATGTTGTAATTTTCTAAATTCTAGAGAATAAAGGCCTTATCTACGAAAGATCTCCATGTCAAATAACCCTTTCATCCAATAACCAGTCCAAGGAAGGTCTGCTGCATTCATTCCAGGGCAAGTATAGCCTTCTTTCGGTAAGGACACAAAAACTATAACAATAACCAGATATGGCTCCCCAAACCATGTGATCACAGACTTTTCACGTACATTCCCAATTTTAGTAATAAAAGCCAACATGTCATGTGCTTTCCAAATTGCTTGACATAACTGCATGTGGCTCATGTCAAGAATACCCAGCTTCCTCTAAATACCAACTAATTCAAGTCTCTTGCTATATTAAAACTTGTTTCTCCACTTCCAAAGTGAAAAATTTCACACTTGACAATATTATGCTCCATCTACCATCTTGCTGCCCACTTAATTGATCTGCTTAAATCCCTGCGCAGTCTCTTTGCATACTTATCAAAGCTTCGTTTTCCACCCACTTTCTTCTCATCAGCAAGCCTGTATATACTGCAGCTGAGCCATCATCCACAGCTTTAATATAGATTGTAAATAACCGAGTTTCAGTGTTTTTGAGGATATTGAGATTTGACAAACGTGATTTTTCTGACAATTATTTTTATTCATTCAGGGGATGAGGGCATTGCTGGCAAGGCAGCATTTATTGCCCATCCTTAATTGCCAGAGGGAAGTTCAGAGTCAACCACATTGCTGTGGATCTGGAGTCACATGTAGTCCAGACCAGGTAAGGATGGATGTTTCCTTCCCTAAAGGACATTAGTGAACCAGGTGGGTTTTTCAGACAATCAGCAATGGATTCATAGTCATCATTAGATTCTTAATTCCAGATATTGAATATTATTGAATTCAAATTCCAGCCCCATCTGCCGTGGCAGAATTCAAGCCTGGGTCCCCAGAATGTTATCTGGGTCTCTGGGTTAACAGTCCAGCGATAATACCACTATAATTACGTGTTTACTTTGTCCAATCACATAATGACTATCCAGGAGCTTCCTGAACATGTCCCTAATAATAGATTTGAACACCTTCCATACTACAGATGTCAGGCTAATCAGTCTACAGTTTACTGTATTATCGCTACATCCTTTCTCATATAACAGGGCTATGTCTTCTACCTTTCAATCAAGAAGAAAGTCTTAAATGTTTCTGAATTCCCTGGATTCCATATCAATGCATCAATTATGTTTATAGCTATCTCTTATCAATTCACATTATAATTTGACTCGTCTTTGCATCCAAGGGTGCAGCATTTAATTTTAAACATTTATTTTTATGTTAGGTACTTTAAAACAGATACTAAAAGCTTCTATTAAGTTTCTTGCCAATTCACACACTGTCTTTTGTCTTCCTTCATCAAAATTTTGATTATAATATTGGTTACAATTCTGAGTCACAAACTCTCTAAAATCTTACAACTCTGACAACTAGAAATCTCATCTTTCAATCTAATACTACCCGAAATGTCTCTTCTGGATTCAGATAAAGCACCGTAGGCATCTTCACTGAAATATGCATTGCAGAATCTCAGTTCACCAGAATATATTATTTTTTTCTGAACATCTTATATTTTTATCTTTTTTCCTCTACTGTGAAGCACTGCATTGATTACCGCTTGAATGCAACATAACTTTTTTCATACTTGGGCTTAAAATGGCTGGCAGGTTTAATATTTCCTGCAGGTTCACATACTACTCCTTAGGCATCTCGAAAACGTACAAATCGGCTCACATTATCTAACAGTACTTACATCCTTCTAGGCAAGATAAAGCTATTGTCCCAAATCAAGGAGTCTAACGTGAGGAGCAAACAATTTTCATCTAGGAGAAACAACCTGCAGAATAGCATACACAAGACAGATCAGCTGAGTCAATCCTACTGCTTCTTCTAGCAACTCATCCTCCTACTAAGGAAACTCCAAACTTCCATCACAAAATGTGAACTGTTCATAAAATTAGTCTCCACTTCCCTATCGATAGATTTAAATCAACATATCTTAAATGTTGTAATACTTATTCACCATTTCAAACTGGTCTCAGCTGTTGCTCAGGGTCCGACCTCCATCAGCACCTTATCCTCATATTTTATACTTGGAAAATATGTCGGCAATAAACAATTCACATTTGTAAGGGCAAAATCCATGTGAATATGAATAAATTTTATATTTATGTTTACAGATTAAGTGGACAAAAAAATCTCACATTTCCATTATTACACAGCTGACTAATACTTGATGACAATACTGCAACAGAAAGATCAACTGCAATGATGACAAAGCATTTTCTAACTCCAGTCTTTCAAAAACAATGACTTTCTAGGTACTCTTAGAGTGAATCTAAATTGCACTAACGCTGACACCAATTGGTAATTTCAAGACTTCACACAGAAGTCTCATTGACCAAGAATTAATTTTCTCACTTCTGAATGAAATGCCAACTCGAACTCATAGGTTGCCTCAATGCTTAATGTGGCAGAGGCGTTCTAACCCAGCATGTCAAAACTCTCAGAGGGGCTTCACTTATACTACTTGTAACGCCTCAGGGAAATTCCCTATTTTGTACCGGTGGAAACTCTAAACTTCTGTGTAGACTGATGTCAAATGTTGCCCTGATAACACAGAAGTGTTATCATCTTGGCAATACATCAAACGTTTTCTATACAGTTCACTGACTTTGAATCTGTCCCCATAGGAAATCTATCTTGCAAGAAAGCTTACTACATAGACAGGCCAATACAGTTCTGAAAACTCATACAGCTATACAGTAAGCTGGAAATCACATTTTGAGAGGACATCTTCA